TTTTTGCTGTGGTGTAATTTATGTTAACGCAGATCGAAAAATAAATCTCTTGGCCAGAACGTAGCATGCTATAAATTTCAGTGTAACCTGGCCGTTGGGCAAGGTGGAAAGCAAAGACGGCCAAAATGACGATGGGCAGCTTGTGATAAGCCCCAAGAAAAGCACAAGGGCTCGACATGTGAGGGGGGAAATAACATTCAAGCTGCAGAGAGTGTGGGAGATGGCGACTTCGAGCTTTAAGTTAAATTAATTGCATTTGTGCGATACAATGAATCAAATTTAAAGCTTTTCTGAATAGAGTTAAGCTCCGCAAAGGTAAGCTAAGAACTTGAGCTATTTGGGATTTCATGTTTGAGCACAATTTTCGTAAGGTCTCAGGAAAATTTCCGCTCAAGGAGCTTTTCGTTAGTAGAGCTTTTTAATTTGTATGAAATTGTGCTTGATTAAAGTAGAGCTTTAAGTTAAATTGCATATTTAAGTACAATTTACATATGGCCTCGTCCAGGGAGCTTATCGTGAAGCTTTTTAATGTAACTTTAAGTTTCATTTTGCTCAATTTACATTTTCTTATAATTTTAAGAATAAGCTCAAAGGTTCTTGTTGCAATAAATGCTTCGCGCTGAGCTTTAAGTTCAATTAATTGAATGCGACATCAATCAAGTACGCAGTTTTTCCAAGTACTAGAGTTTCGCAAAGATACTTTTTGAACTTGAACTATTTTTGCTAATAGGCAAGGCAAATAACAGTTAAATGTATGTGTGTGTGTGTGTAAATATGAAATATGAAATAGGCGTGAAATCTTATCTAAACGAGGCAAACAATCGAAATACACAGCGCAAGTAGTCGAAGCAAATGCACAGCAATTAACTGAACAACAACAACAACAACAATAACGAAAACCATACAAAGCAAGTCACAGCAAATGATAATCGTCAAATGAAACGCAAAACAAATACAATAAAAACAACAACAACAACAAGCACAATGTGCGTGTAATAAAGCTTCAAAGCTGAAAAACAAACAGATGCCGAACGAGTCACACTCACAGCTTGAGTGAGCGATAAGGCATGCGAGCGGGAGTGTCAGCGGGCGTGAGAGTATGCAAGTGTGTAACTGTGAGAGTGTAAGAGAGAGAGAGAGCGAGCGATGCGCTCAACAGGGAATTCCCTCTGCTGCTCTGCTGCTGCTGCTGCTGCCTCTGCTGCTGCTGCTGCTGCTGTCGATTGAACGTCAGACCAAAATTGAAAGCCAAATTAAGAGCGTCCGCTTAGAGAGCAAGCGAGAGAGCAGAGAGAGAGAGAGAGAGCGCGCGAGCGTGAGCAACGTATAATTCAAAGGAAATTAAGCATAAAAGTGAATAACTTTTTATAATTGCGTTGTGCGTTGTCAGCCGTTTTGGCATTTTACATGCGCCCATTCTTTGCATTTGTCGTGTGAACAAATAATAAGCAGAACGAGATTTGGGCAGCCAATTGCGCACACACACACACACACACACACAGAAGCATATTAACAGATGTGTGCATGCGAATGCTCAGCCGCTGTTAAGCTATGCCTGTGTGTGTGTGTGTGTGTGCGAAAGCTTATCTCATTCTCGTTAACTGTATTTGTTCATCATTTACATAAATATGTATGTATGTTTGTATGTACATATGTACGTAGTCACATGGCTTAATCATTTAGATTTGATTCTGTAGCAGTTTTGCATTGCCATTTGAATAGAACTATTCTCTTACTTTTCTTGATATTCTTAATGCTAATTAAACGGCTTTAACTTGACTCATAAAATTCCCACGCATATTGTGGGACTTTTTTTTGGCAAGCGGAAGCAGTAGGGAAATTTGAGAATTTTAGGGTTAGGAATGCTGAAATTGAAATCTTATTTTCAAACTGTGAAGAAATGACAACTTAATGGTTTTTCGAGCGGGATTAACAGTTTCGCAGTGGAATCATTTCTGCTGATGATTAATTTCTAGTATCAGCTATAAACTTAGTTGAACTAAAACGATTAATAAAGTTCAATAGCAGATATGGCTGTGTGTGTGTGTGTGTGTGTTTTTGTGTTTGTGGAACCGCCTAGAATTTCACAATTTGCAATTTTGATATCAGGCATTTCTAATCTTATTTGTGGCTTGGTTATAAAAATAGATTCAACGACGCGTTTTTCTTTTTCTTTTCTTCTATTCCACTTGCCTCCCGTTTGTGCTACATTTGACTAAACAGTTGTGGGCTTTACGAGTCCCACGCACTTTGCCACATTCCTCGCATTGTTCGCGGAGTCTCACGTGGGTCTTGGCTGCAATTCCGATTCCGTCTGTTCCGCTACAGCAGCTGTAAACGTAACTGGATTTCGGGCCCGCACCCAACCCCCGCCCCTGCCCCAGACCCAGCCACAGTCCCAGCCCCGTTCTGTTCCGCCCGTTTGCATGCACATACATTTGTTTGAATTTTTATTTTTATTTTAATTAAATGTGCAAGCAGCTGCAGAAATTGGCAAATAAAAATAAAAATGTAGCTCATGCGTTTTTATTTTTTCTAGTTTTTTTTTTGCTCGGCAATATTTGATTGTGTTTGGCATTATTACAAATTCCAAGCGGCAGACCAGAGAATATTGCGTTTAATATTAAGTAAATATTTTGCTATTTATGTATGTACGGAAGGAATGAAAATATAAATAACAAGAATAACAACAATAACGGGAGCAGCCGCCATTAAGTCGAGCACTTTAATTACGCAATCAACAGGCGCATATGCAAAAATGTTGCTGCTTTCTGTTATTGCTGTTGTTGTCTCTTTCTTTCTTTTGTTGTTGTTATTGCTGTCGCTTTACGTTTCATTTCATTTGGTTTTTTTCGTGCTGTTTCGCATATTTCATTTGCTGCGGCTGCTTTGCGCTTGTCATACGTCACAGGCAACAAGCCGATTAAATTGAGCGGGCAGAGAGAGAGAGAACGAGAGAGGGGGGCGGAGAGCGAGAGGGAGAAAGAGAGAGTGACCGCAACAGCATGTAAATGAAATGGAAATCAACTATTGAGAAACGCTGCCTTCAACTGCGCCAGCTGCAGTGCTGCTGCCTCTGCCTCTGCCGCCCTTTGTTATTGTTTTAGCAGATTTTTAATATGTTTGTTTTAACTGCGACTTTCGAGTGGATTTGCACCCGCACTCGGTCAGTTGGTTAAATGGCATTTAAAGCGATTTTCAGAGCTGAACTTTTGTGGGCGGACAGGGGGCGGGACGTTTCAATGCGTGCCTCATGACAGGCAGCAGCAGCGACTGCGACTGCGACGGCGACTGCGACTGCAATGTGTCAACAGCGTTTATTTGCAACTATGTAAATATACTTACATATACCTGTATGACATGCAATTCACATTAAGAATGTTAAGTGGAATTAACAGAGCTGTTAATAATATCTATGACTGCATCTGCATGTGCATTGAGTCACGCATGAGACATATTCATTTAATTAGTCATGGTTTAGATAAAGTGTACACACACACATAGTCTATCTAAGTTGCGCACCTCTCGATGACAGGGTATGCCCAAGGCAGAGCGAAAAAAATGTACAAGCCGAAAAGAGCCTGCATGCAAATTAAAGCAGCGACCAGGCACACAGCATTTATGGCAGGCGCCTGCTGCTGCGCTGCTGCTGCGGGCCACAGCGCAATGCAGAAGGCAAGGAAGCAGGCGAACACGAGAAGAACAAGAACTTGTTAACGCAGGTAGCATAAAACGCGACCGCGATTTGCGCACGCATCATTCAACGAGAATGAGAAGTCGAATAAGAAGAGGAAGCAGCAAGGAGCCACTCGCACACGCTGCCACTGCCTCTGCCGCTGCCACTGCCGGTGCTTTGGCCTCTGCTGCTGCGGCGCTGCCTTACCACCTGCCGCACTTGTTTATGACCCGCCGACTTGTTGGCGTCTCTCGCCGCAACTGGACACTGGGACAGCCCGGCCAAAGCGGAAACATGCGCATCAAAGCACACAAACACACACACACATACGCACACAAAATGAGCTTACATGGCATAAGAAGAAGCAGCAGCAGCATGTGAGAAGCTTTAAAACTGACCAGAAGAAGAGCGACGACTATAACATGACTGAATATTGGCAAAGCCGTCGACGTCGCTGTCGCCGTCGTCGTCGGCGTCGTCATCAGCAGCAGCTCATGCGCTTTGCTCTGGGGCCTCATTTCTTTTGCTTTAGTTTCAAACTGGTTACGTCGCAACCAGTTTAAGTTCGTGTGTGTCTGTGTGTGAGTGTGTGTGTGCGCGAGTGTGAACGTGTGCTGGGGAAGCCGCTTATTGTTACGTTCTTTTCGCTGCTGCTTCTTCTACACATATTCGGCCTTTGCTAATTGTCGCCGCAAATGTTAAAAAAAAAAACAATTAGCATGCGTTTGTGTGCGTGTGTGAGAGAGAGCATGAGCTCAGCTTTGCGCTGCATATGGATATGTGACGTCACGAAAGCAATTATTGCGTGCGCCGCAACATATAGATAAACTAACTGAGCGAATGTAAAGATGTATGCTCAATGGCCATTTATTTGCAGAGTAACTTTAATCCGCTTAAGCTCGCTCCACTTGCGGCCGAAGCGTGGCATACTTTGAGGCGTTGCCAGCAATTTTTTATTCAAACTTGCGGCTTATCAGCGACGGCGTTCAAAGTGCAGCTCAATGCGATTAAAGTGCGAGTTCGAGTGCGAGTGCGAGTGTGTGTGTGTGTGTGTGTGTGTGTGTGAATACTAGTAGAGGCAGTCATGAGTGCTTTACAACTGAAAGCTAACGGCGCGAGACAATAATTCAGTTTGTGTTCGCTGATAAGCGGCGCATTAATCGCGCTGTATTTTGTAATTACGCGCGTTTCTACACACAAACACACACACGCACACACACACACACACATATTGCTTATCACGAAGCACTGTGCAAAAGGCAAACTGCGCAGTCAACACAGAGCCAATCAAGCGAAATGATGCGACCCGGCCCAAGATTCGAGAATGAGACAGTGGAATGTGCCAAAAAAGATGATGAACAACATTCAAGAGTGCGTCATTCGCATTGACTGGGCCACCTTCTTCCCCCTGCCCCTACCCCAGCCCTTCCTTCGTCAACTTTATACAAATATTATGAATACCCTATATACACACTCTATAAAATGCTCGACTAGCCGAGTCAAGCTGTTTATCATAATGTTTGTGTTGATTTATTTTTAGTTTTTCGATACGCCAGCAGCAGCGGGTATTCTCATTTTGTCATTCAATATGCAACAAATGTAGGAGTCTATGTAATATCTATAAGAATAACTATATAATTTTGTTTTAATCAATCGGAAATCTTATTATCATATGACAAATCTTAAAAATGCTCTAACTTAGCATTTGTGAGTTTGGAATACCCATACTCTGAGATTTTAACCTATGTATATCATATCATATAACTAGCATTCGATCTAATGCCAAGAAACTTGGAATATAGTTGAAGAAGATGAAGCTGAAATATCTATTTCTATTTATACTCGGGCCAAACAACTTGGAACAGTTATGAGCTAATGCCAGGCGAAGAAATATCCTTCAATATATATTATAGTTTAATTATATAAAATTTGGCGATTTAAAAAATACAATCACAAATCGAATATGCTACGATTTGAAGGGTATTTAGCTAGATAAAGGTAAATGCTTATACCAAAAACTTGCAACAGCTAAAAGTTCTTCGAGCAGAAGATGAAATATCCTACAAGATATTACCAAACTATATAGCAAGCGCAAAATACTGTCAAAATTAAAAGGATAATATCAAAAAACCGAATAAAGTACGACTTGAAGGGTATTTAATCGTCGGCTAGACAATATTAAAATGTTATTTTTCTACCCTGAACCCATTGAAAATGGGTAAAAAGGGTATATTGTATTTGTGCGAAAGCCAAATGTATGTAACAGGCAGAGGGAAGCAACTCCGACCACATAAAGTATATAAGAATATTCTTGATCAGCATCAATAGCCGAGTCGATCTAGCCATGTCCTTCTGTCTGCCCGTCCGTCCGTATGTATAAACGCAAGGATCTCAGAACCTATAAGAGCTAGAGAAATTTTAGATGAAGATGCTCCTGGCTCCCGCGCAGATCGAGTTTGTTTCCAATGATCGATAACTTACTCCGTTTCCAAGCAATCGATAAAAATTGATATCAATATTCTGTTTTTTGAGCAATTTTGGTAAATAATAAGAGCTAGAGTCAGAAAACTTGACATATAGCTTCTTAAATAGAATATATATATGCATTTGATGTTGGCAGAAGAGGGTTCAGGGTATCCCCTAGTCGGTAGCTCCCGACTAGAACCTCTTACTTGTTTTTTGTTGGCATCATTGGGAATTTCGCCACAAATTGTGAGCGAGCCGCGTTTATATTTATTTATAGAACATTTAACATTCGTCTATGCGTTTGGCGCAGACAGAAAAAGTTTATTTCGCAGAAATTCAAATACGAACTGTACGCATACTTATGCAGCTGACTGTGCACAAGGCACAAGGCACACGTTTAAAATTAGCAAAACAGCGCAAATATTCGCCTGTAAACATTTCACAAAATTTAGAGAAAGAAGCTAAATAAACTGGCATAAATATAGATATAGATAGATATATATATATATAGGTATATTATAGCTAGATTTGTTCGTATATTGCTTTGATGGCCATGGAAAAATGGCAACACTTTTCCCAGTCAATTTTCTCTTTTCGCCCATGTTGTTATTACTCTATTGAGCGTAAATTTGTGTGTGGGTGTCACACACACACAGCCACACACACACACACACAGACACACACTTGACGTCACTGAGTGAAATGTCAGTGTCAATGCGTGGGAGAGCCTCGACATTTAGTATAAATAATAGATTAAATAGATTTTCTTTTGGCTTGAAGCAAGCGAAATACGTATTGAATACCATTCGCATGGATCGTAAATAAATCAAAATAAATTAACACAAATTCGATAAAAAGGAATTTTCCCAAATAAATTGTTATTAATTTCAAATCCATTCGTTCTCTCTTGCAGAATCCACGGTGAATTCGCGTAAAAGTAATTTGGAAACGTCGCGCGACAAACTAAAGGGTAAGTTGGCCAATTTCCACATCGCGCAGGCTATTGACATTTATGTATATATATATATATATATATATATATATATATTCATATATGCCTTATCATCTGTTGCGTGATTGATTTATATCATTGTCAAGTTGTCGCTATCGCAGATAATGTCAGACACTTGTTGAAACCCCTCGGAAAGCTCGACTGTCGTGTGTCCATATAGTTAACGTTTTTGCTGACTGTTTGATTGATTGATTGACTGATTGATGAGCAGTGCACAGCGTTAACTGTAAGAGCTGGCAAGCTGAACTCTGTATGAATGTTTCGTTTTGATGTGATGCAAGTGAAAACTACAGAGGAAATCCACCTGAATGGGTGAAAATGCGCATTAAACTTCGTTCGCCACAAACTGTATTCTCAGGATCTTGGTGAAAACTCATTGGGAACATGTTTCACACTTTTCGGCAAATCCACGCCGTCGGAAAACAACACACAGAAGTTTCGATTCGAATTTTCACCCCTGCAGGTGGAATTTGCAAAATAGATGATACAAAAAACTGAAAAAGTCTTCTAAAGTCTTAAAAATCTTATAAATAAGTATTTCGAAGGGAAAACGAAACGAAAATCGATTTCAAATTGCATTAAAAAGCGTTTTTGACCAAACAAAGCCGCTTAATATTTGCTCGTTGCACAAAGAAATTGAAACACGCGTCGAGTTTCGATAGTCACGACACCTCTAAAGAGCTCTATATACATATATACAGATATATATATATATATGTATCTTTCTATGTACTCGTGTACATTTATCTGTTGTATTTATAATGTTGACCTTCGTGTAGGTTCTGTCGATTTGTCTGTCTGTTTTGGGGTTTTGTTGTCTTTTTTTCGTGTTATCAGTCGCAACGAAATTGAAATTCACCCCCAAACCAAAAATGTTGCGTGGGCCCCACACCCCCCTTGCCACGTCTCTGGGCTGTTCCGTTGTGCCAGCTATTTAATGGGTAATGCCGTTTAATACAGTTATTATGGGGCCTGACAAGCACCAGGCAATTACACATATAGACGAGCGCCCATTTATACGCTATATATATACTATATATATGTCAATGCTCGGCAATATTGATAAAAATAAAGTATAAATGTGAGCATAAAATAGAAGTCGTCGTTTTGGTTGATAAAAAGCCGAATGGCGTGATTCATAATAGAAGTACACACACACACACACACGCACAACAAATAAAGTTATAACAATATGCGTTGCTTGTGCAAGGGAAACAAGTAAGAGGTTCTAGTCGGGAGCTACCGACTAGGGGATACCCTGTACCCTTTTCTTCCAACATCAAATGCATATATATATTCTATTTTAGAAGCTATATGTCAAGTTTGCTGACTCTAGCTCTTGTTATTTACCAAAATTGCCCAAAAAACAGGATATCGATATCGATTTTTATCGATTGCTTGGAAACGGAGTAAATTATCGATCATCAGAAACAAACTCGATCTGCGCGGGAGCCAGGAGCATCTTCATCTAAAATTTCTCTAGCTCTTATAGGTTCTGAGATCCTTGCGTTTATACATACGGACGGACGGATGGACGGACGGACAGACAGACAGACGGACATGGCTAGATCGACTCAGCTATTTATACTGATCAAGAATATATATACTTTATGGGGTCGGAGTTGCTTCCCTCTGCCTGTTACATACATTTGGCTTTCGCACAAATACAATATACCCTTATACCCATTTTTAATGGGTTCAGGGTATAAAAAGCCAAACTTCGTAAAAATCGGATGAGATTTGGCCGAGATATGGGGGTGGTACATTTTGACTAATGTCTATACACGAATCTTGGACTTGAATTTCGACCAAAAAATCGGTGTTCAGATTTGAATGCCAGATTAATCTAGAGGGAAAACCATAAAGAAGAAGCCAAACTTCGTGCAAATCGGATGAGATTTGACCGAGATATGGGGGTGGTAAATTTTGACCCATGTCTATATACGAATCTTGGGGTAAGATTTGGACATGAATTTCGACTAAAAAATCGGTGTTCAGATTTGAATGCCAGATTAATCTAGAGGGAAAACCATGAAGAAAAAGGCAAACTTCGTGAAAATCGGATAAGATTTGGCGAGATATGGGGGTGGTAAATTTTGACCCATGTCTATATACGAATCTTGGGGTAAGATTTGAACATGAATTCGACTAAGATTCGATGTTCAGATTTGAATGCCAGATTAATCTAGAGGGAAAACCATAAAGAAAAAGCCAAACTTCGTGAAAATCGGATGAGATTTGGCCGAGATATGGGGGTGGTAAATTTTTACCCATGTCTATATACGAATCTTGGGGAAAGATTTGGACATGAATTTCGACTAAAAAATCGGTGTTCAGATTTGAATGCCAGATTAATCTAGAGGGAAAACCATGAAGAAAAAGCCAAACTTCGTGAAAATCGGATGAGATTTGACCGAGATATGACGGTGGTAAATTTTGACCCATGTCTATATACGAATCTTGGGGTAAGATTTGGACATGCATTTCGACTAAAAAATCGGTGTTCAGATTTGAATGCCAGATTAATCTAGAGGGAAAACCATGAAGAAAAAGCCAAACTTCGTGAAAATCGGATGAGATTTGGCCGAGATATGGGAGTGGTAAATTTTGACCCATGTATATATACGAATCTTGGGGTAAGATTTGGACATGCATTTCGACTAAAAAATCGGTGTTCAGATTTGAATGCCAGATTAATCTAGAGGGAAAACCATGAAGAAAAAGCCAAACTTCGTGAAAATCGGATGAGATTTGGCCGAGATATGGGGGTGGTACGTTTTGACCCATGTCTATATACGAATCTTGGGGTAAGATTTGGACATGAATTTCGACTAAAAAATCGGTGTTCAGATTTGAATGCCAGATTAATCTAGAGGGAAAACCATGAAGAAAAAGCCAAACTTCGTGCAAATCGGATGAGATTTGACCGAGATATGGGGGTGGTAAATTTTGACCCATGTCTATATACGATAAGATTTGGACATGCATTTCGACTAAAAAATCGATGTTCAGATTTGAATGCCAGATTTATCTAGAGGGAAAACCATGAAGAAAAATCCAAACTTCGTGAAAATCGGATGAGATTTGGCCGAGATATGGGGGTGGTAAATTTTGACCCATGTCTATATACGAATCTTGGGGTAAGATTTGGACATGAATTTCGACTAAAAAATCGGTGTTCATATTTGAATGTCAGATTAATCTAGAGGGAAAATCATGAAGAAAAAGCCAAACTTCGTGAAAATCGGATGATATTTGACCGAGATATGGGGGTGGTAAATTTTGACCCATGTCTATATACGAATCTTGGGGTAAGATTTGGACATGCATTTCGATTAAAAAATCGGTGTTCAGATTTGAATGCCAGATTAATCTAGAGGGAAAACCATGAAGAAAAAACCAAACTTCGTGAAAATCGGATGAGATTTGGCCGAGATATGGGGGTGGTAAATTTTGACCCATGTCTATACGAAACTTAGGGTAAGATTTGGACATGAATTTCGACTAAAAAATCGGTGTTCAGATTTGAATGCCAGATTAATCTAGAGGGAAAACCATGAGGAAAAAGCCAAACTTCGTGAAAATCGGATGAGATTTGACCAAGATATGGGGGTGGTAAATTTTGACCCATGTCTATATACGAATCTTGGGGTAAGATTTGGACATGAATTTCGACTAAAAAATCGGTGTTCAGATTTGAATGCCAGATTAATCTAGAGGGAAAATCATGAAGAAAAAGCCAAACTTCGTGAAAATCGGATGAGATTTGACCGAGATATGGGGGTGGTAAATTTTGACCCATGTCTATATACGAATCTTGGGGTAAGATTTGGACATGCATTTCGACTAAAAAATCGGTGTTCAGATTTGAATGCCAGATTAATCTAGAGGGAAAACCATGAAGAAAAAGCCAAACTTCGTGAAAATCGGATGAGATTTGACCGAGATATGGGGGTGGTAAATTTTGACCCATGTCTATATACGAATCTTGGGGTAAGATTTGGACATGCATTTCGATTAAAAAATCGGTGTTCAGATTTGAATGCCAGATTAATCTAGAGGGAAAACCATGAAGAAAAAGCCAAACTTCGTGAAATTTTGACCCATGTCTATATACGAATCTTGGGGTAAGATTTGGACATGAATTCGACTAAAAATCGATGTTCAGATTTGAATGCCAGATTTATCTAGAGGGAAAACCATGAAGAAAAATCCAAACTTCGTGAAAATCGGATGAGATTTGGCCGAGATATGGGGGTGGTAAATTTTGACCCATGTCTATATACGAATCTTGGGGTAAGATTTGGACATGAATTTCGACTAAAAAATCGGTGTTCATATTTGAATGCCAGATTAATCTAGAGGGAAAATCATGAAGAAAAAGCCAAACTTCGTGAAAATCGGATGAGATTTGACCGAGATATGGGGGTGGTAAATTTTGACCCATGTCTATATACGAATCTTGGGGTAAGATTTGGACATGCATTTCGATTAAAAAATCGGTGTTCAGATTTGAATGCCAGATTAATCTAGAGGGAAAACCATGAAGAAAAAACCAAACTTCGTGAAAATCGGATGAGATTTGGCCGAGATATGGGGGTGGTAAATTTTGACCCATGTCTATATACGAAACTTGGGGTAAGATTTGGACATGAATTTCGACTAAAAAATCGGTGTTCAGATTTGAATGCCAGATTAATCTAGAGGGAAAACCATGAAGAAAAAACCAAACTTCGTGAAAATCGGATGAGATTTGGCCGAGATATGGGGGTGGTAAATTTTGACCCATGTCTATATACGAAACTTGGGGTAAGATTTGGACATGAATTTCGACTAAAAAATCGGTGTTCAGATTTGAATGCCAGATTAATCTAGAGGGAAAACCATGAAGAAAAAGCCAAACTTCGTGAAAATCGGATGAGATTTGACCGAGATATGGGGGTGGTAAATTTTGACCC